ATCCTAAAGCAGCTACTCAAACTTCTGACATCAACATTCATATTCTTGCTGCTAATCTTGACAAGGAAAGGGGCTGCTGTTCTCAGGCAAGAGATTTTTCAGAAGACAAGCTTAATGTGCTTGTTTCAGTGAGACTTGATAAATTTGCCAGAGTTAACAGTATTGCCCAAATAACACCAAAGCGCTGCAGGAACATTGTGCTAATGCTGAAAAAACCTGAGAGATCCAGCAGTACCAGCTGCAACTCCCTCATCAAGCTTATCTCAGGGAGGTGTGACCTGAGTGTCTCACCCAGTCCATTAACTTCACTGAGTTGCAAACTTCACAGTTTATTAGTCTGTCTTTTTTTTTTTTTTTTTAATATAGAAATAAAACTGATCAATCCAATATTAAAACCCATACTAGAATGTTATTAGCAGTGGAAAAATTAGGTAATTTAATTAGCTGTACTTATCGTATATGGTAAGTAAGGTAGGGAGGACTGTGTTGCATTTAAAGATGAGTGTATTCCATGTGTAAAGATGAGTCCAGGGTAAAAACAATTTTTACTGGTGCTCCCAGATCAGTACAGATAAAATTACCATGGTGGGTCTGTATGCTGGGAGAATCTGTGAGATATAAAAGTCCTACATTTTTGTAGTCAATGAATTTTTACAAGAAGCAAGAGTAGCAGGTACTACATGGCACAATTGCTAGTTAAATGCCATTGCAAGAACCATTACTTACATCCAGTTTTATTCTAAATGTAACCAATCATCTCTAACTTCCTATTACTGTGGAATTTAATGTAGAGCTTGATTTTGCTCTGATTAGCTAGCATATGCCAGACTTACCAGCTCTGTGTGAGGCTGTACACATTTGTATCTAAGTAGGAATGAGTGGGCAGAGGGTGCGTGATTCCTGCCTGGAATAAATGAACCAAGGTCTTCACAGAGAGCTCCATCTGGCTACTAACATCCACCGTCACGTAGCCGAGAACAGAGGGCCATCATATCTGACGGTCTAGCTCAAACTTCGCTGGGCAAGAACTGAAAAACCTAACACTCGGTCAGATTTCTGACAACTTTTTGTCTGAGTACTGTGATAACAAAAAGTCACTGAGGTGGTACAGGGTAGTAACTGATTTCAGAGCAGGAGTCATGACAGCTGAAGGATCCTGATGCCTCATGATAGACATTCCCTAAAAGTTGTGAAGAAATGCATGTATTTTAACTAGAACAGATGAAATTGCTTTATCTAGTCATCCATTTGCTGGTATAGCTTTTGTCAGTAGCTCTGCGGCCCAACACGATGCATTATCTCTGCCCGTTGCAGGGACAGTGTGCTCTTCAACATCTGTTGTCGTTTTCTTTGTTCCATCCTTGTTGCTTAGTGTATTTAGTGTATGTGAATATGCCTGTGCTGACACTTACTGTCGAGTGCAAATTGCATATTGTTTCTGTATCAGTGAGCTTTTGCTCAGCCTTAAGGCCTTTCCTTTGACCTTCACTGTACTGAATTGTTTGAATTGCACCAATTATTATGCAGCATTTCTTAAATCCTGTGTTCCCAAGGAGGATGATTCCCTCCTCTCTACTGCTGTAAAGGAATCACAGCTACTGTGGACAGGAGTGATGAAGTGTGTTTTGCTCATGTTCTTCACAGCTAATATTAGAAAGGAAATGAAAGTGTAGGAAGACTTTCAGAGCAGTTCTTCCTCTCTGAAGGTAAAGGTACGGCCATCTGGATGCTTCTGGAGAGCTGCAAGATCTTCACTGGGTGCAGAGGATGACAACAAGTGTTCCCTCACTGGGAGGTTGAGGAAGGGGCTGTCAGTTTGTTTAGCTTTTCCTTTCTAATGACACGATCAACTTATAAAACGGCTTCTCAGGCACGAGTGTGAACTCATGCTACGTAGAGTTATTTGGGACATTTCCCAGTACCAAAACTATACCAACCACTGAGGATTTGGTAAGTGCTAATTACTAATTCTGTATTGAAAAATGAGGCTGCAGGAGGTGGTAGCTTTTCTTTCTTCCCATTTGTTTATGTTCGCTCTGGGCACTGTTTTCCTTCGAGCCCGGCTGGTCG